AATAGGATTAAGGTGCAAGTCGACATGTATCGCACACAATGAAAAACAAAATAAAAATAAGAGATAAAAAAAAAATACATTAAAAAAAAAAATTTTGTTTTGTACAGCTCTCATGACAAACTGTTAGGGGTATAATTAATTTTCTATGGACCAAAACAAATGATTGTGAAATGAAATATCAATGATATGTTACTTCCAACCCTTTTTCTTTACAAACTAACAAAAATAATACAAAAAATGTATATATACATTTTTTATTTATAGGCTATATATATAATGGCATTGTCATGAGAGTTGTACAAAACAAATGTTTTTTTCTCTGCGTATACAAAACTGATCTGCGTAAAGTCTTTATATAAAGTTAAATTTGCCTCTTTGTCTTTAAAAATAGCTGCAGCTAAGTCAATTTGGAAGGACTGCAGCCACATGTCGTCCTGTTTAAAGGTCAAACGCCGCCCCAATCTCAAATCTTCATAGCGTCTGACTTTTTTATTTATTTACTCTTTATGACTGCCCTATATTTAACTCCGATCTATCTTCCTATTAACTTTAACTAGCTTCAGTGTCCCTGATGAAGATAATTTTTCCCCACAGCAAAATGTTTTATGTGTTCATAATGATGTGCTGTGTCCTCCACATATGGCATCATTTTTAAAGACATTAAATGAGTGCTAAATTGGCTGCTCAAAAAGCACAAAACAAAAAAAAAATTGTAATGAGTTGGTATGTTGCGAGTGATGTGGAAAGATTGAATGGACAATGGGAAATGAGCGATGATATGTTTCGATCTGCCCATTTTGAAAGAGAAAATTCTGTGTATCACTTGCTGTTTGAAAAGGTAGACTGACAACATAGAAAACAAACATTGGTCCATTATTACTTCACACTGCATGATAATGTTTCATATAGGGCCTGTAAAGGAACATTCAGGGAGTTCATTTTAATGAGATAAAATTAGATTGCATAATTTTGGAATATGATACATATGTATGTACTGCAAAAAATCTAAATCTATATAAGTAATTTTTCTTAAAATAAGTGCATTTGTTCTTGAATTAAGGAGGTAAAAGAAACTTTTTGCCAATGGAACAAGACAATTACACTTAAAATAAGAAAACACAATTGCATTGTCTTATTTCAAGTGCATATTATCTAATTACCAGGGTGAATACACTTAATTTAAGAAATTTTTACTTATTTCTAGATTGTTTTTGCAGTGTGTACATGTGAGAATCTTGAAAAAAACATCCCCATAGAAGATATTTTGATTTCCTTCATAACTTGTGTCAGTCTTTTGCATAAAATGCACTACCTTTGAATGTCATGTGACAATTTTAATTTGATGCTGTTAGAGATTTCATTTTAGTTGAATTTTTGCTGGCAAGACATTTTACCATGAGCTCAGAGTAAACGGTTTTGCTGGCACGAGTTCTTGTAATTTCTTAAATGAATAGAAACTGGAAGGTAGTTAGGAGTTGGAACATAATTGACATCAATGCATAGTTCATAAAGCAAGAGGTACATGTAAATAGGAAACGGTTGTTAACGTATAAGACGCCTTGTGGCACACCAATTTTTGTTTCATGGATTCACTAAGGAAGCTCTCACATGAAGGGAGTCTAGTTAGTTTAAAAGCTGGAGCATAGTAGTTATCAGAGCTCTCAGTCTGATTCTGTGCCATTTTCTTTAACTTGTTAAAGGAAATTCTTAAAATCTGTTTCTATTCTTATATGATTCTTGTATTGTTTTAATGTGGATCCGCTGCAGGTGTTAAAGTGAATTAAGGGCATCAAACTGTTACAGTATGAATACTTTTGTCAAAAACATTTGGTTTATGTGTATTTTTTCTGTCTCTCTTCTCTCCAAAGGTAAGGAAGAGTCTGTAGCCACCTTCAAGGGCAACGAGTTCTTCTGCTACGATCTGTCCCTGACGCCCATCCAGAGCAGCACGGATGAAATAACGCTTTCCTTTCGAACGCTCCAACGCAACGGGCTCATGCTACACACTGGCAAGTCAGCAGATTATGTAAACCTTTCCCTGAAGAGCGGCGCGGTCTGGCTGGTCATCAACCTGGGCTCTGGGGCCTTTGAGGCCCTGGTGGAGCCAGTCAATGGCAAGTTCAACGACAACGCCTGGCATGATGTGCGCGTCACCCGCAACCTGCGACAGGTAAACAGTTCAGGGCTGCTGTAAAGATGGCGTTTATTTCTAACACCTCTTCTTTTGTTGCAGCAGGATTATCGTTTGGTTCCTTTAAAAAAAAGAACTAACTTTGTCTTCCTTATTGTCTCCTTTCTGCTTTAATACCAAAATTTTCTCTTTTTAGGTGAAAGCTGAACAGAATTTATTTAATCATCTCTTTTGTAGCTACTTTGTTTTGACCAAAAGACCAAAGATACATCTCATTGTGATATTAAAATATTTCAAAGGGAAACAAGCTTTAAAACATCAAAGTACACATGAAAATACCAGGATGTGAGCCGCAGTTGAATCAATACAAAATCAAAGACGAGTTGATTCTCTTAAAAGCAATTTTTAGATTATTTAAAAGAAATAATTGAAAGAAAATGTTCTGCCCTTTATTTATGCACATATTATACTCACATGCACAACTGAAATGCAGGGTAATTTATCAGGGAAACCCATGCTACCCAAACCTTTTGAGCAGTCATACACGATTGTCTTTGTTTGGGCGTGTGAAATGTTCCGTGATATGCGTGAAATGTTGTGTACTTATCCATGGCAGCTTGTTTTCAAATGCACGACAAAACTTAAAGTGCTTCCTCTGAAAACCAGACCCCCTCCATATTCTCCGAGTCATCAATCGGCAGCTGCAGATACTAGCGGTGAGATACGATCAATTTCACTTAGACTTGCCATGCTTACTTCTGCACATTTTTTTTCTCAAATGTAATTGGAATGAATGGCTTGTCAGTACTAATAACGGGAATTCTAAGCAGCCAAGAAGGCAAAAAAAAAAGGCTTAATGTGAATGCATTATCAAAAAGCAGGTGGGTCAGCTCGTTTTTTTGTCCTAGGGAAGAGGTAAAAACATTATCAGGCAAAAAAATGCGTCCAAGTCAAAGATTTCTTCAATACAGGAAAACAAAGAAAACTCAAAAAAAAAATTAGAGCACAGATATATTTAAAAAGCATATCCACATCCATCACTCTTTGATGTTTTATTCCTATTTTCACAAAGGTATTGCAATTGTAGGTAAATTTAAAGTCAAACTAGTAGAACACTCTTGCCCTAAAATAGAGGGAATAACGAAGGAACCAACAAACACTCATAAAAGTAAAAAAAAAGCCCCCGCATACACAGCTGGGGTCAAATGTGGAGCTGTGTGTGATCAGCAGATTGAGACTGGCTTAATGAGTTTGGAAAGCCGACATGATTTTAAAGATTTACAGCATGAGACAATCCACCTACCACCAACTGCACTATAATGATCATTAGGCAAATGTGAAACACAAGCGCTCACACTAACACAACACTCTTTATTTGGGCGCCTTCCTCATTGCCTGCCAGTCTATATTTCCGCTTTACTTTGAACCTCAAACGCAGATCTACATTGTTTAGGTTACTAATGAGAAATAAACAGTACAGAGGAGACTCTACCAGTCCCATTATTTACCCGTACCTTTTAATGTTGAAGGTTTAAATCTGAAGGGAAGGCTTCAGTTACAAGTATTTTAAATTTATGTCACTACACTTTCAAATCATGATCTAATCAGCTGCTACCTTTGCTTGAATCGTGTGTAAAATCTAAATGGAAAAGCAGCTGTTGAGGCTCGGCAGACATCAAATAGGGATACTTAGTCTAAGATTCGACTAGGAATTAACCACCCATATCATGTTGTCCAGGTGAACAGTGTTAAATCACACGGCAGCTTAAGTCTCCAGTGGATCATTGTAATTGATTTAACTGGCAGTCCTGGTGTTAAAGAGCTCTTTAGATTTACCCCACACCACCGGCTCAGAGGGACACAGGAAGTTGAGTATCAATGGCGCCGACCACCTCTGACCCGATATTTACTAAGAGGCGGATCGATAAAAGCTTGCAAGTTAGTAAACCACGAAGATCACGCATGAAGGAGGGATGAAACACATGAAACTATAAGAATAAAAAATAACTGCCCGAACAAATCAATGAAAAATCATAAACTGTTTTTGAACTCACCTGAAAACTATGTGTAATGATTATGACATTTTCTGCTTTAGGAATGTCTTTTGCTTTCAAGACAGCAGTTCAGATTTGTCACTATTAAGTCTACCACTGTATCTCCCTGGTAATTCTGGTTTTCTACACATCAAATATGTGTTTTCTGAAGTGTGAATGGGCTAAACTAAACATGTACAAAATAGATTCTAAGTACCTATACAAAAAAAAAAGATTTATTTACTAAATAGTTATTTATTAATTACGCTTCACTTATTTGTGTGTGAATCGTATCATCTGAAACTTGCACAAATGAATGTATTTGCATTTTATAAGTAAGGTCAACAATATAAAAACTAAAAATTCTGACAAATGGGAGCTTGTTAAATTTAATGCCCAATTCTCCCCATGAAATTGTGCTTCAAAAACATTTAAGTCTCCCACAGCAAGTTGACTACTGTATAAGCTTAAGTTGTCTGCTATTAATTAACGGTAATAACATATTAGATCTTAGTTTAAACAGAAACAAAAAGAATTCCTTGGATTAACTCAACATTCTTAGTAAATGTTAAATGTTTTAATAAATGATTTTTGGAGTTGTATTTCTTGTTTGGTGGGAGTGGCGTCTTAGTGGTCAGGGCATAGAGCTTGGAATCCTGAGGTTCTGAGTTCGAGCCCCACTCCCGAAGACTGACACTCTGGGTCCCTGAGCAGGACCCTTAATCCCCAATTGCTCCCCAGGTGCCGCACGATGGCAGCCCAATGCTCCCCAAGGGGATGGGTTAAATGCAGAGGTAAATTTCTCCAATGTGAGATAAATAAATTTCAATTATTATTATTGGTTTTATTTAACTGTACTTAATCAAACAAATAGCTTTGACTAAAAGTTGAGTCTCTCAAAATGTACTTGATCATATTAAGTATTGTTTTGTTGCCATAATTTTTCTAATTTCTAAAGAAATTAAACTTTAATGAGGTAATGATGCAGTCTGAGAGGCATTTTCTGTAGTTTACACAGTCTGCTTTATGGTTTGTCATGCAAATAAGCATCCGAAAACTGTCCCTGACATTATACATAATTTGCATCCAACTCGCCTGCCGGATCCAGCCGCATGTCATCTGAAACAGCAGTTTGCAGGAAGAGTGTTGGATGTCACCTGAGGTTAATGTGGTCTCTAATGTCTTACAACATCATGAATATCCATCTTTCTGCAACCTCAAAAAGCAAAGCCTCTGAGCATTCCTCCTTTATTTTATGGCGTGTATGTATATTCACAATGTTTCCCTATAAAAACCTATGAAATTGTCAGCTTTGTGCCGGATAAAATGAAGCAGACAGAATTAGGTGAGGTGATAGGGACTCTCTGCCAACATACAAGAAAGAAAGGGGAGGAAAGTGGGGACTGGAATACTTTGCACACGCTTAAAGGTCCAGAGCTCCCCTTGGTGGACACTTGTGGCACTGCAAGTGTGTTTTTCAGTGATTCTTAAGGTCTTACCCTTGTGGTAAGCTTTGATTGGCAGGCCATCCCATTTCTCTTGACCTTTTTTCAGTCTCTGTCCACCGTACATGGAGAGTCCCATCCATCCTGTACTATTCACAGAGCACATCAGTTAGCATAAACAGCAAGCTACAGCTTCTGTGTCTTCCTCTCTCATGTCTCCCTGACATGATATGCAAACAAGGGCATCTTGTAGACTTTAGTGCTGGGACCAGGATCTCCTGTGGGACCCACAGCCTAAACCTGCTGCACAGAGAACCAGAGGAACGGATGCTAATCTTCATAAGTATGGATCAGTGTGCTATTCATACTGAATGATAACACTACTGTAACAAAGTATGTTATTTATTTTATGCAAAACAAAAAAGCTTAATCAAAAAAAAAGAATTGTAGTTTGATTTTTAAACCCAAAAAGAACAAAATGTTTTTGCCCATGCAATAAAACAGGCAGTGCATGCAAACCCAATTTTGACTGTGTAGATTTATCAATATGTAAATCATATTCTAAGTACCAAGAGGTGCAAATGTAAACATTTACAAAGTGATTTTTCTTTTTTAAACCTGCAAACTCACACGCAGATATATTAGCTGTCTTTGTGGCCACATAGGAGGCGATGCAGCCGATGCAGAGAGATTTCATGCAAATTACATTATACATATAAAGAGAAATCAATAGAAGAATAATATTAATAGAGAGAAAATATCTGTCCAGGTCGGAACAATTTAAATCAGAAACCGAAACCAATAAAATGACTAAACTTCAATAATTGGCAAATTTATTATTAAAAATTGTTAGCAGAGAACATCTATCACTTAACATGTAAAGAGGCATGTGGACCTAATTGTGTGCATTTTTCTTTAACAGGCTCCACACCAAGTTCAATTACTTTTTATTTAATTGTTATGGGCCTAAATAGTTTTGTCTATTGGGTCAAGCAGCTGTTTAGAGGAAGTGTTGGGGGTAAATCCAGCTGTTTGGAGCCTAGATTCTACCTTTTCTGCCTAGAGGCAGTTTCCAAGTAAATCAATAGCAATGATTTCATATCTTTCATATTAAACTTCTGTTATCAATTGGTTTATTTTTATTTTTTTTTATCTTACTTGCTACCTATTGTCATTATTATCTTTTACATATTTATCACATAGTATATTATTTTCAACAACGTGGCTTAGAACCTCATCTTTCTTTTACAGCTACTCTTAGTCTGCCGAGTTGAGGGTGATTTATAATCAGTAAACTAGCAGTAGTTGTTGTTTCAATAGGGTGGAACCAAACCGGTTTGCACGTCTTATCCAACCTGGCAAGCCATTTCGATCATGTTTAGCACTCTAATAGAGCAACGAAATATTTGTTTCTGTTGCTTGGATCTTTACAGGGTAACACAGGTACATTGAACCAATTTTCATTGGTCTTTCATTTAATCTGCCTCTCAAGTTGCTTGCAGTAGGCTGCTTTCCAGATATATCCATAGCGTACTGATTGAAGTTTTGAAAGATTGCGGCT